ACACACACACACACACACACACACACACTTGCACATACAGTGTGGACACATGGATTTATAAGAATCATCATATTGCTTCTTAAGCTTTTCGCATCGTGCTGCTTTCTCGGTGTGCATTTGCTAAGAACGCCATTATTTTATGTACGCTATTCCCTGGAAATAGAGATATCAGTGGGAGGTTTACAGTAAAAAAAAACCCAAAAACAAACACCACTCTATGGAGCTTTACATTATATGTAAGAGGTTTACATTAACCAAAAAAACAACAACAACAAAATAAAACAAATCCCCTCCCCACACATACACAGAACTTCACTGAGCGGTTTATATTTTATTACCGTACACCTCCCTCTTATTGCCATATACATGTACTGTTTTCCTTTTTACTGTAACCCTCCCTCTTATTGTGATATACATGTACTGTATTCCTTTTTACCGTAAACCCCCCCTCTCATGCGATATCGACCGTTTTCCTTTTTACTGTAACTATCCCTTTATTGCCATATACATGTACTGATTCCCTTTTTACTGTAACGCTCCCTCTTGTGGCGATATAGACAGTTTTCTCTTTTACTGTAAACCTCCCTCTTATTGCCATATCCTGTAGACTGTTTCCCTTTCTACTGTAACCCTCCCTCTCATTGTGATATAGACCGTTTTCCTTGTCACTGTAAACCTCCCTCTCATCGATTAGAGTAGGCTTCGGCCGCCACCGGGGCAAAATTCAAAATTTCCTTCCAACTGAAAATATTAGGTGTGTCCCGCGCGCTCATATGACCTTATTATGCAGTTTCGAGCGCCGTAAAACACTTTACAAAAACAAACAAACAAACCTCCCTCTCATGCAATATAGACCGTTTTCCCTTTCCCTGTAACCCGCCCTCTTATTGCGATATACACAGTTTTCCTTTTTACTGTAATAACCCTCCTTCTTTTTGCGATATAGACCGTTTTCCTTTTTTTAAAACTGTAATAACCCTCCCTCTTTTTTACTGTAACCCTCCCTCTTTTTGCGATATAGGCCGTTTTCCTTTTTACTGTAACCCTCCCTCTTATTGGGATATACATGTACTGTTTTCCTTTTTACCGTAAACCTCCTTCTTATTGCGATATAGACCGTTTTCCTTGTTACTGTAATCCTCCCACAGACAGCTTTCCGTTCCCCGTCCTGACCTCCAGGTATGAGAGCACCTCAGACTTGCCGTGTGGCTCCCTCTACAAAGGTGGCCGTCCCAACTCCGAGATCCTCGTGGTGTTTGACGCCTGCAACCACATGGCCTCCATTCTGAAGCAGCCTCTGTGTCAGAACTGTACGCATTTTTGTTTTGGTTTTTAATCTTTTTAGTTATTTATTTTTTTGTTTTTGTTTTTGTTTTTGTTTTTGTTTTTGTTATTGTTTTTGTTTTTGTTTTGCCCCTTGCCGGATGTGCAATGTTGAAGAAATAACTCCGTGTGTGGTATGATAATGACAATGACAATGACAACGACAATGACAATGATTACGATTATGACAATGACAATGACAATGACAATGAGAATGACAGTGATAATAGCAATGACGATGACAATCTATATTCCTCTTGCGAGGAGAAATAATAATATTGTCTTGGTCGTTTACGATGTCAGTGGAATGTTACAAAGGGTTAGGTGCACTCACGAATACACACACAACAAGAGACGGGACATTAGTAAATACATGAATTAATGCAATGCACGAGTCTAAGCTAGCAAACGACTCCCTGCCTTTGCTTTGTTTCGGTTGCGAAGTTAAAAATCGAAGTTAAAGTCATCTCTCTTCTTTTGTTTCCGCAAGAGTTTTACGACACTTGCATCACAGTACGGTCATGTCATATAGATGCCGAAGATTAGATGTGTTACGAGAGAGTAACAAACACAAAAAGAAGGAGAGGAGATAAAGATGATAGATGCTTGATAGGAAAGAAGTAGCAAACCACACCAGAGCACCTGCCAACCACTCACATCTCTATTCTGACAACACAATGGCTTGCTAATGGAGTTTCTTATTCTTTCACTTTTTTACTTGTACAAACGTACGATTTCTGCTTGCTTTCCCTCCTATGTTCACGATAGTGCGGTTTTATTTAGGGGTTTATGCCGCGTAGCGATACATGCTTGCATATTATTAGTGTGGCTACAATAGGAGAACGTCCAGATTTCTTCGAGTCCTCACTCTGACGCCGACGGGCATGACAATTTCGTTTTCATGTGAGCCTCTTGCATGGGTCCTCTTAACCATTCGACTGGTCATTTGACCTTTGTTGGTTGGGATCTAATTGGTCAACTGATATGGGTATGGTATTTTAAACAAATATTTACAAAAACTACACTCGTTATGGTGGTAGGTCATGATTTATCCGTCTTGTTAAATTGTCAGTTTGTAATCACTCGTTGAAACTAGTAGGATAAATCACGATCTACTACCATAACTCATGTTTAAAAAAATATGTGTTATATATCCTACTGACTGAATTGTCTCTAGGCCATTCTCAAAGGGGGAATATTAACCTATTCTTCTTATGCACAATAGAATTATTGTAAATGGGATGATTTGTCAATGTCATGCTCGTACTGTGCCGGAACAACATGGAGGGAACAGCTGCTTTTTCTCTCCTCATCCTTACTATCGTCATTTTTTCGCTACTTCTTTTGTATGTTCGTCACTCTCTTGTGAACTTCTATTTTCGGGGTGCCTTGATAGTTGAAGCAGACTTTGTGCTGTTGAGGCAAGAGAGGTAAGCAGAGTAAACCTGATTCCCCGTTTGGACTTCTCTGTTGACATCCACCCCTTGGCACTCATATGACCTTATGCAGTTGCGAGCGCCGTAAAACCTTACTAAAACTATACACTTACACACACACACACACACACACACACACACACACACACACACACTCACATACACACAAACATTATATTCTGTGTGTATACATATATCCATAATATTATACATGCGATAACTTCCAGGCACTGGTCAGACTTGTGATCTGATCACATCCAGCCAGCTGACGTCCTGGGAGTGGGCCGCCCAAGTTTGTGAGGACAATGGTCTGACTTTAGCCACACCGGCAGTGAGAGATTTGAGCAAGGCTTTTGTGGGGACTTCGGGGCAAGGGCAGGGGTTCTGGATAGGACTGCGGAGGACGACAAAACTACAGTGGATAGATGGTGAGATAGCGTGTCCTGTGTTGGTCTCTCTCTCTTTCTTTCTCTCTCTCTCTCCTTCTCTCTCTCTCTCTCTCTCTCTCTCTCTC